CCAGTAAAGTAGGAGGACTTGGATTGGAGATTAACAATTCTGCTGTTTGGACTTGTCACGCCCTTTTAAGACCTCGCAGCCAAGCAGCTTCCACATATATAAAAGCCCAATTGGTGAGTGCATGCATTTGGGCACGATTTCATCGCTCATGTTCCTCCATGTTTGTTTGTACTCACGATTCGAGAGAGATTTCCTGTGTAAAGCATGTTCATGTTGCCTAACTTAGTTGACCTTCAGTATTACAATGCAGTACATTGTGCTCAAAATGACTTCTGAGATTGAGCTCTTGATTCCACTTGTTCCCAAGAAACATGTCATCAGGACATGTAGGCTGCCATGGGTAGACTGCCATGCTTTGCAGAGATCAATACAGACCAAATCGTTTCTCAACGATGTATCTCTTGTAGGTTGCCCTACTCCTGGCCATTTCCGCCTTGTCCAAAACCTCTCGTGAGTCCTCAGTCTTGCTTGGCAACTGAAGTTGTTGTTTCAGTTGTCGCACCAATTTACCGGATGCGGCCTCGTTCGCATCCAGTGACCTTACAACCAATTTCACCACCAACAAGAGTTTCCACCCTGCTTCTCGAAACTTGGAAGAGAATGACGGCTCTTCGCTGAACTTGCGAGGAGGACTGGCTGGACGCTTTGGTTTGGTCTGTGGGTTGAGCTATGACAAAAGAGTGCTTCAGCGATGAGGCGAGAAAGCTCCCTGGACAGATGCGGTGAAAGATGGCAGGTGGAAGGCGTTATGATGGCAGATGGCTCAAGGAAACACAATGGAAACACATGTTGAAGTTGAATGCAAGAAGATCAGACAAGCCACTTCCCTGTTGAGCGTTCTCAGAGCAGTTTCAACAGGACACGTATCTATCAAAATGACCAATTTGGACACCGACTCAATTTTGCAACAAACACTATACCTGCAACTCTGAACCGTAGGACCTTTCCGGACGTGTCATCTATCGCAGTGGGTCCTGGCACCGGGAGACCTCCGTTGACCAGCGAACATGAACAGAATGGACGACGTGCGTTTCGGAGGCCTATGTTTGGGTGTGTGAAACGGGCTCCGGGTGCCATGACCCACCGCCATATGTTGCTGGCATGTTTTAGCTTGTACGTGTCACCAACTTAGCAGTTAGGATCGACCAAATCAGGGCTTTGAGTTGGAAGCACATTGGAAGCATCAGAGTTTTTCATGGCCTGAGCAAGACACGTCAGCGACTTGGCCAAGACACGTCTCACTGGGCCAAGAATTTCAATCAGATGGTTTCACACAATCATTTCCATAGAACAATATATATATAGGATATGTTTGTCGCATTGTTCCCCGAACAACAACAATCAACACGGTTATAACAGATCCTGCTGGTCTTATCACTTCTGCACAATCAGGTATCTCAGCTTCTAGAACTATTAATTATTTGTTTTGAAAAAGCTTTGGTCCGAAGAAGCTATAGAGATTTGATGGTTGATAAGGGTGTGCACTTGTATTCTTTTGTTTGGGGGGCCAGTTAATTGCACTTTTTGTCAGAACCCCCAAAGTCTACCCAAGGACACCCGTGCCTCTTCTGTTGTTTTTTTGTAACCCTATCTGAAAGGGAACAGGTTTCATTGGTAAACCTGGCAAACAAAATAGATCAACAAAAATTGGGGACTCAGGCTCAAGGTCTTGGGAAAGGTTTGGCCACCGCCTACTGGCAGAGTGGCTGGGGTTATAGACTTTTAAAGAAACTATAGTTGTTTACCCAAGGCCTTCAATTCTGTGAAGGCTAGTTTCTTTGTGACCCTGCCTGAAAAGGAAACAGTTGCATTGGTAGACCTGAAAGGCAAACAGAATTGTGCCCTGCAGCAACCGGATAATTTTGAGGCGTTTGGTCACATTGATGCAGACATTTTGGGGTTGGCCAGCGGCCTTAGGTGCCTCGTTTTTGTAGTCGCCCTGTTTCGGATCTCTCGATTCTATAACAAATGCATGTTTCTTGTGAGCTTGATTCTATATATATATATATGTTTATTTCCTACCTGAGCTTATGTGCAAATTTAGGCTTTGGAAATGGTTTGTGTTGCCGTCCCCACTGAATTCTAACGGGGGATATGAAAGAACACCAGCCATCCTTTACACCGGCAGTGAGATGTTCTAACTATCTCATTCCGGCCAAAACAAGGCAAAACCCCACCATCTTGGCGGACATCCGTGCTCATGTTGGGGGCGGGAGGGAAAGACTTTCTCCACGTGACGCACGTTCTCCGCGTGTTTTTGGGCGCCGGCACCGCCATGGAGCTGGACACGGCAATCACCTTGGTCCAGCTGCCTGCCTTGGGACGACTCACAGGTGGGGCCGTTGGCAACCATTTTAGATTTTAGACCAATCATACCAATCCATTAATTGATCCCAGATCCTCCAAAACAAGATCCTGTGATTCCAAGATCCTTGACCCAGACCGGCACCAGGCCCAGTGGAAGCCATGCAGGACTGCGCGGGGGAGGATCGGATGGGCGTGTTTGTGCCCGAAAGGAGCCCGTTCACCAGTATATATGGACGACTTATCCAACAGTTTGGGCACCCTGAAGTTATGTCGGAATGAGTGCAAATCAGTTACATTGATACTGGTGTCTCAAAATCGTTTCCCTGCCCGGACTTGCTTGTATGAAAGGTAAGTGAACATCAAGTCGTTGGAGAATCCTTCATTTTGAGACATCCCGCTACCCATCATTACATCCGAGTGTGAAGCTTCGCTTGGGTGATCATTGGCGGATGGTTTTGTTAACACTTTTAGATCCAAGCTCAACGCGACAGGGAACGAGCTTTAATAGTTGCTTGGTCGAACGCTACAGGGGTCCCGTCTTCATTGGCCCAGTGGTGATGAAACCTGTGAGCTTAGCCTAAAACTACAGACTCTTGAGACCGGGGGGTTGGATCACAAGCTCAGCCCGCCAGTCGTGCTCTCCGTGACCACACGGGGTGACATTGAAACTTCCAGGCGTGACACTCTCCTCCAAAACTCTGGCCAAAGACCATAGATCGATCAGGCCAATTAATTCGAAAGCCCACGCACCCGTTCCACCTGTATTTCTGCCAATTGCTGACTCCCCCGAAAAGGGGTGCTACCCAAAAACAACCAATTCCATCGAACTCGGCGATGCCAAAATTCATCCATGAGAACTGGACCCGATTCTGACTGGGGGGATCGTCCGTGGGAGCTGGGTCGCTTGCCTTTTGCTGGCTCGGCTCAGCGCGGGGCCTGGGGCAAGAGCGCCTGGAGCAACCCTAGGCGCGAGAGCAGGACACAAGGAAGACCCTGCAAGAAGACAGGCCTTCCAAATCCTTCCAAAATCATTCCCTGATAGTCTGTGATATGTACGCATCATATATATACACATATGCACGGTACATGGAATTATATATAACTATATTGTCATGTCCATCCAAATCATCCGCCCAGGTTAAAGTTATACGTCGATCTATAGTTTTTGTGGGTCGACTTTGTGGATTTAGTTGATGTGTCCTTGGCTGATTGTACTTTGTTGTGCTATCCGTCTCGCCCCGGATGGGACCATCCCATAGACCCCTGTGGTCAGTGTTTAGTGCGGGTGGGGGGTCATTGAGCACCTCTTCTTTGGGCCTCGAAAGTGCCATCTACCACCATGAACAGTCGGCTGATCTCATGATCAACATGAAGCTTTCTCCAAGCTGTTTGGGTGAGGCTTGGAAGCCCCGAAAGCATTTCACCTAGTTGGGTGAGGCGCTCAGAGGTCTCCATTGCGGGTTTTCCAAGCTATGAACCCCCAAGAGTAAAAGCTTTCTAACAGCAATTGCAGGTGGGTCCGCTTTTTGTATACATTATACATCTTTATAGATTGAGAAACAAAAAGAGCGCCACTAGCCGACTACATATGTTTTGCACTGCGTGGGCGCTTTGCCCATCATGTGCAGGCGAACCTCTTTGGAACCCACCGAAAAGCTCTATGTGCGCCACGCTTTGAGTGGTGAGTTCACGCATCTCTGCCAAATTTTCAGGTGCTGAAGCATGGCAGTAAAGCGATGTAAGAAAGAAATCGTTGTCTCAAACTTACCAAACCAAACCAGCATCCAACTTGCTGTTCGCCCGGGCAGTCCGTCGAACATCGGATCATAACGCTTCGGAACTCTTTCTTCGGATCATAACGACGAACGCCAATGCTCGAGGGATCCACGGGAACCGTATCTTACCTTTGGGGAAGTGTTCGAAGACGATCGACGATGACGGTTGTTCCAATGTAGGATGGATGAAGACGACTGAAAAAGAACAACGACAGGTCCTGTTTCAGACCAAGACTGGCGGATTTTTTTTTGTGTTACGTCCTTGTGTTGTGTCGTTGGATACCCAGTACATTCACGGGTCAACGACAAAAGCCTCGTATTCTTTGGTGGGTCTCCCTGCACCCATTCAAACGGTTTGGTGACCCTTGCTTTTCTGCGACCCCTTCCTGGTGTCCATCCGAGGAACCCTTCCGACCACACGGCCCATCCAACGGCGCAGAGGACGAACGGCGCAGGAAGGTGGTTTAAAGGGCAGAATGCGGTTGAGGATGAGGTGTTCGTGGTGCGCAACCCCACACCTGAAAGTTTACCTGCGGATGTTGTGGTTTTTCTGTCAGACAACTGTTTTTTGGGGTGGCCGTTTGTTTGCTATTTCTTACAACTGTTCGATCAACTAACCCCACTTTCCCATATGCCCATATCCTTCGGCCAGCCACTTGTTGATGCCAATGTTGCCTCATGTGCATCTCCCATTTGGTCGGGCCCAGATCTTCGGTATCGATGGGGTGCGCAGGGTGTCATCAGGGTCTCGAGAAGATCAGGGATTTGGTTACAGGATGTTATATGTGTTTGTGTTAACATTAAGAATTACACGTGTTGGTCTTTTGGTCTAGCAGCAACATCTTCCTTTCACTGACAGAACCCTTTGCTTTGGTCGTCCCCTGCCAGCACCTTGTGGTCCTTCGAGGAGCTCCCTCCATGCGCTGGGCCCTGCTGCTCCAGCTACTCAGCTGCACTGTGAATCGGTGAGGGTCCTACCAAGACCATTTGGAAGATGTTTCTTTACAGTGACCTTGTGTGTGTGTTGTTGTTTTTTATATGTCTATGTTTTTCCGACAAGGATTCCAAAAGGGTAGGAAGAAGTGCATCCTCTTGCATTTGTTGCAATGGTCTTTTTGATGTCATTATGGGACTTCTTTAGAAGGGATGCCACGCTTATGTCCTTTTCCACATGGCTGGGGGTGAGAGGGAAGCACCTTGTGACTAGATGAGGGTTGAAGATGGTTTACGTCCTTTCTGGGTCAAAGAAGGGCCCATCACCCCATGCCAGCCCTGGCTCCCTGGCTGCAACCTTCACCTTGCTTCAGCTTGCTCCACAACTGAAGGACTCATCAGATAGACCTTGCAGAAGCGGCGGAAAGGGTTTGCCCAGCCTGAGGCTGCTCGCTAGCCTTCCAAATGGACAGGCTGAGGAGCATTGCAGCCTTCTTCAGGCGAAGACGGCCGCGGCAGCGCTTCAGGTGGAGCGGCCCTACTTCGACCTTTTGGATGCTTGGAGAACAAGGGACTGGAGCTGACCTGCCGAATCCAATGATACAAACCAGTATACAGTTACCAAAGATATATATACCTGCTTGTGCACAGGCCGCGCAGCAGCGGGATAGAAGAGGGAGAGAGAGAGAGAGAGAGAGCGCCTATGTTAATGTGGAAGGGACCAAGGCTAAGAGGTGTCCAATTATAACTCCTTAGCATGACCAAGGACCAAAAATAATCGGTGACCCCTTAGGGTGTGCTGGTATAATATATTTTACGTACTTATAAAAAGTGGATCTGGATATAAAATATATGTATTGTTTGTCTATCTACTAGTAATGACTCCAGTGTGGCTCGCAGGACCTCTTTTCCGGTGGATGAACTCTTGCAGGGCTTATGGTTCCGATAGATGGATGGTCTTGCATAGGCTTCAATGGGAGGGATGGGATGAAATGTACTCTTCATCCACTGAATGGTACTTAGTCAGGAATGACATAATGAGGGAATGGAACCTAGGGTCCCGTATGAATGGGGACCTCATTCCCCGATTCTCTAGTTTCGCGCCAGTCAGTACCACGCCTCTCCTTCGCTGAACGACTTCTTTGCTGAGATCGTGGTACCCTCCAACCCGCAACAACTGGCGCTACGCAGTGCGGTGCGACAAGGCGCTGGCAAGCACTCTCTTCCATTGGGGTGACTGGACCGGCATGGCGAATGGCGGAGGCGAAAACACGCCCCAAAGAGGGTTGGAATTCACCCCACTTGGAGAGGTCAATTCCATTCAAATCCCTAGTCCCGGGGCGGATGGGCGCTACTAATTTGTCTCAGAACTGGCAAATGTGTTCCCAATCAAGATAGCAAGCTTCATGTCGCAAAACTGCAATTGGATTCCGAAAAAGCAGCGTCGTTCCGCAAAAGTAGCGTCGTTTCTCGCTTCAAGGGGCCGATATTTCTGGTGCTATTTGACATCATTCCAAGACCATCTCAAAACGCTTGTTCTCGTCTAATCAACTGCGTTCAATCTGCCGGGGGCAGATAGACATTCATTAAACTCGATGCAACAAAAAGTGTGTAAACTCCTTGGTTGAGCAGGGAGTCATATACCGTTTGATACGAGGTCATATACCCACAGCTCCAAAAAACAAGTGCTTGGGCGTAATCCACGACAAAAACGAGTGTTTGTTTCTACGGATTTCGGTCATCAGTCCAAGCTAGGGTGACGTTGAGCAAGCCATTTGGGCGGTACAAATAATAAAACTTGAATGGATTCTGATCCTTTAATGGGGAATTGTTCATGTTGAGCAAGCCATTTGGGCGGTACAAAACAATAAAACTTGAATGGATTCTCATCCCAAATGGGGAACTGTTCACGTTCGTCATGCTTCATGTATACTCCCAGCGCCCCTGGACTTGCCAGACCCATGACCATTGAGCATCAGGGAAATGTGATTATCCCACTTGCGCGCACAACAAGAAAACGGAAGAGAGTCGCACATGAATGCTTTGGTCGGGAATGGTCCCTGAACCTCCGGACAGCATGTGTGTTTAACCGTTATATCATGATTATACATAACCGTTTAACCCTGACTCTTCATGGAACTAGCATGGAGTGTATGCGACAGGGAGATCACCCAGTCACCCATTTGCCAACACGCTGTCCAGCGGCCGCGAACACGTGGCCACGGCCCGGCTTTTGGCAGGTTGGGGTCGTTACCTCAACGAAACTGGGCACTGCCCTCGCTGCAACAGCAACCGTCACTGGGAGTCGATTAAGAAATCCTATCGGCTGAGCCTTTCTGATGAAGAAATGCAGACATTGACCTGAACATTTGGACCTATGTGTCTTTTGAGGCTTGATCAAGTGTCATCCACACTAGCTGCTAGCTGAACATACAATACAATGTACGAACCCCGCCTGACCGATTATTCTGGATTCGCAGGACATTGGTTTCGCTTGGACACGTCTCAAATTGTTGACGTTTTTTTTGGTGCAGAGAACGCGAATCTTGGTGCCCCAGTCGTGGCATGAACGTCGCATCAACCCCGAGTACGTGGCGTGTGGCTCGGCGTGTAGACTGTACGACAGTATACTAAGCTGGAATTGTTGCTCCAAGGGAAGCACACCGGGTTTCAAAATAGATGATGGTTACAATTTCCTACATCACCTGAGACTCATCAAAAGGGATACTGGATACGCCAGATACCCAGTAGGTACTAGCAGAAGTGTGATAGAATTTCAGCCATGACCAGTCAACTCCACCGGTGGTTCCAGGGGATAAAGAGTTGTTTTGTTATTGCTGCTGGTGGACTTTGCATTAATGTCAACATAGGATTAACCAACCCCCCTATTAATCAAGCCCAGCTGGAGCCTCCAATAATAAACTAATTTGAACTCTGCAAACCTCCCTCTAATAATGACTTCCACCCCCCTATTAATCAAGCCCAGCTCCCCCAGACAAAAATACAATTTGTTTTATATTTATTTAGTTTTCCTTTTTTAGTATTATCAAATGGTTTTAGGTATAATTTATCCACCCTTCTCCCATGCTGACCCTCTCATTCATCAATCATTTCTGATCATTCTGCTTGCTCTTCTCATCCTTCCCAGCAGCAATCTGTGCAGCCAACCATCCCACAAAACCCCAAGAACTCTCTAGCAAAATTTGTTCATTTTCCCTTATTAAAACTCTATCAACATCTTAAGGTTTTCAAGCTCACAAAGTACCCGTCACACAGGCCCTACCATCCCCCAATAGTAGGGACCCCTCCCCCTATCAATCAAGCCCACCCTTTGGCCTCCATCTTGTTTTCCAAAAGTTCTCATGTGGTTTCCATCTCTTCCAACCCTTTCATCCCAACTCTTCCAAATACGAATTCCCTTTCATCTCAATTCTTCCAAATACTCATTCCCTTTCATCTCAATTCTTCCAAATACTAATTCCCTGTTCCTCCCAACTCTTCCAAATACTAATTCCCTTTCATCTCAATTCTTCCAAATACTCATTCCCTTTCATCCCAACTCTTCCAAAAACTAATTCCCTTTCAGCCCAATTCTTCCAAATACTAATTCCCTTGCATTCCAATTCTTCCAAATCAAGTTCCCTTTCATCATCAGGTCATCATCTGCACCCAAACCTTGTTGACCTTGAAGGGGGGGATTGATTAATCCTACGTCGACATTACCAGCCTCTCAGAGGTCTTCAATCTGGAAGTTCCGGCTGAATTTCGCAGCTGACCAGAGTTTTGATCTTTCCGAGTCTTTCCCAGACCTCAGTCGCAGTGTTTGCAAGATGTGGGTTTGATTGGTGACTGCACCGCGGCCAAAAACCGTGGGCTCAGGTACTGTGAAGCTGCTCTTCGGAGTGGGCCCCTTACCGGAGTGGATGAAGAATCAAAGCACAGGTGCAGCAGTGCAGCCAGGTGTTGTTATTTTTTCCGCAAGTCGCTAAGGCAGCGTTGCACCTCCCTTCCGGCCCTTCCGGCCCTTCCGGTCGGAATGGGTAATTTTGGCCAAGCGTTTGCCAGCACCACCCAGGCAAACGTGGTGGTTTATAGACCCCCCCCTGACTATTGTTTCATCCAATCACCCAACAAACTGGGTGGTGCTGTCGATCTGCGTGCTGCCTCGTGTCGAGTGTCGTGGGAACGACCTTCGGCCCGGTGTGGGTCTCTTCTGGTGTTGGTTTCTTCAGGTGGCTCGCTGTGTCGTGAAAGTGGTGAAAGAAGCCGTGAAGTTGACACATGTTTTTAAGACGTGCGTTTGAATTGGAATTCTGGAATTCAGGTATAGCTGAATTTCGATCATCAACAGCTTGGCATTCCGAACCATGTCAATCTTTGTTTGATACCGCTCAGACCTATTAGGCAGAGTGTGACATGTTCAGATATTCCAGACCTGCAGGTTTCCTGAATCTGGGGCAAAAACCAAACACAGACCCCAGACTGAGCAAATGGTCGAGAAAATTGTTGTCCATGTTGGTAACTTGTTTCTGTGAATCTCTTTACGTCAAAAGATCCACATTTGACATCTTACCTGGTTGAAGGTGTCTTCAAATTTTGACACCACGGACTCTGACAGATGAAAGAGACACGACACCCCTTCCGACCGAAAACCGCTGACCGCATCACCGGGGGCCGGGAGCGGATGTTCCGAAAGAAAGGCGGAGAGGTCAGAGGGCCAGACCAACAGCACGATCCCTTTGGTAGCGTGATTGTCCAGGTATGATATATATATATATATGTATACCAGCACCCTCCAACAGGCTGTTAGTTGAGGGTTGTTGGACCCTAACAGGTCTCAATTGGTGACCTGTCGGAGGGTCCTGGTAGTGGTATCTATACATATATGCCTAGATTGACTGAAACCATTGCAATGTATACAAATATGGCATACATGGAGTGGAGTGTTTGGGTAATGACCCAAAATGTCTTTGTGCCGTAAGGGCCATCGAATCACATGTGAAAAAACAACACCCTTACCGGGAGGATTTTCAGTTCTGGTTTACGCAGTCAATGCTGATCTTCTGGATTGGTTGTCCATCTCAAGAAGCTTCTATCAGTTCCTGTTGATGCAGGAATTGCTTGGGTGATTCAGGGACCCTCTCTCCCGCAAATTTTGGACATGGACAACATGTGGTGTCCAGCAGGAAAGGCATTTTCCATGGGGTCATGCCATTTACTTCCCATGATATTGATAGAGTGCAGTTTGAGAGCTTTGAGTTTCCTAGTAGTTTCAAGACGACTCCTCCCAGTGAGAATGGTTTTCAGGTGAAAGAGAGAAGGATCTGGCAGTGCTGCCCATCGTAGCGGATGAGTACCACTCCCTGACTGAGAAGATCAGGACGGTCCTGACAGAACGACATGGACACTGCATGACCGGATCCTCCAGGTTAGATGATGTGTAGCACTCGCTGGATGACCGGGTGCTGGTTAGATGAAAACCCGAAGGGTATGCGCCAACGATGTAGCCATGATGTAGGGGAAGATGAAATGGCAACGAGAATGCAACTGAAATGCCTTATAAAGGACCGGTGTTTGTTGCTCGCATGGAACATCATGGGGCGACCTACGGCGCTGGAAAACCCTCATCCTTCCCTCAAAAGCAGGGTTCCAGTTTAAATGCGCTTAAAGCAGGTATGTACTAGTAAATGTATATGAACCAGCGCCTCCGAATGGTTTACGACCTGAAATTGTACCATGGCACACCTTTGTGCTGGCTGAAAACCTCCAAGCCTCCAAATACGCTGACCGTGCCAGTTTGTGGGCTGCAATGGGTATAGGTAGTTGCAAAGACATGGGCAGGACCCCATCTGATTGGCGGGTATAGGAAGAGCAGGAACAATGATGTTGGAAGAGCTCAGAGCTCTGGTCGAGTTCTCTCTTGAGGAGCACACAGTGGACACGATTTAATATCCAGAGATGAAAATGACTCTTGCAGCACTCGAGTCATTGCAATGCAAGCGAGCACTTGAACATGGCCACACACAGGTGACATGCGACCCTGGCACGACTTTTTGCTTTTGTTCCGGCATTCGTTCTGACATTTGACCTTGCATCTATTCTGGCGTTTTGTCTGGATGTACTTTGATATGTAAAATTTGGCATTCTTTCTGCCATGCACTCTGACATTCTTTCTGGCATGTACTGGGCACTGGCACTGGGACATTCTATTTGGAATGGCATGTGTTCGGGTCCATGCGTGCCCAGACTGAGCTGGCCTATAATGTTCAAGCTAGAACTCGCTATGACATCTGGGTCCGTTGGTGCCCACAGTGACGACGAGCTGGAGGAGGAGGATGAGGAAGGAAGGAAGACAGGGAGGGAAAGGAAGGGAAGGGAAGGGAAGGGAAGGGAAGGGAAGGGAAGGGA